GGCGTCTCCGGCGCTGTGCCTCGGGAGCCCGGAGCAGGGGCGGTGCGGGAACATTCTTTCGAGTCCCGGCTAGCAGATGGCCCGGTGCCCGTGAGGTGCTGGAGGCACCTCTTGAGAAGAGGGTGTCGTGTTTCGTGAATTCTTCACGAATTCGTGAATTTCGTGACGTGAATTCTTTGTCTCTGCAGTTCTTAAAGAACAAGATGGGAAAGACTGAGAAGGCTGCCGTCCCTTACAGCCAGCCTGTTCACAGTTCACACCTCTGTGAACAACCAAAGATTAACAGACAGAAGAGTAAATGTAACGTGCCGCTGACAAAGATCACCTCGGCAAAAAAGATAGAGGACTTTTGGCAAGATGCTGTATCGCCAGAAATAATTCAGAAGCAGGAGAAAAAGCCTCTTAAAAACACAGAGAACTTCAGAAATGCCAAGTCCAAGAAACCTATCACCCTAACTGAAGCAAACCAAAAAGAAAATTATGCTGGGGCAAAATTTAGTGACCCACCATCTCCTAGTGTCCTTCCAAAGCCTCCCAGCCACTGGGTGGGTGGCACAGCTGAACCGTCTGACCAAAACAGGGAGTTGATGGCAGTCCATTTGAAAACTCTCCTAAAAGTTCAAGCGTAGTTTCCAAGATCTCTCGAGTAATTGGCAAAGAAAACTCCATCCAGGAAACTTAAACATGCCTTGTTGCAACAAAAATTGCAAAAGACTGTCAAGTCTTATAATCACATTAAAAAATCCTTGTATTATATTTTTTATGGTTGTGTAAATAGTGTACATCATGTATTATGTGTATATTCTTGTTCATACTTTTGAGAGGTACATTTTAGTTTTGTTATGAAAGGATGTATTTTGCACTGCCTGAATGGTAGATGTCTTGTATATAAAATATGGACAATTTTGTGTGTGCTTGACACATGAAGACTTGACTTGATTTGCACAAGGTAATGAAAATTTTGAAAGGAGAGTACAGCTTTCTGATTTTAAGGTTCCAGATCAAATGTGAATGTTTTATTCATGCACTACTGACAACAGTTTTACATTCTGTGTCCCAATTAAGTATAAACATGGAATTTTCATACAAATGTGAAGTTTTGCTCTCTGCTCTGGAAATGGTATCTGGAATTCCTGTTCATCTGTTTGTTTTTAAAATTAACTGGAATTTGAGTAAAATTCCAACCCATCAATTTGAGCACTGCTAATTTCTTCAAAGAAAAAAAAAAAGAAAAAAGAAAAAAAAAAAAAAAGAAAAAAAAAAAGAGCAGAGCTTTCTGCCAACAATCCAATTGGTCACTAAAAAATTAAATAAAAGAATTTGGCCTCCCCTTAAGCATGCCTCTGCTTTTCTTTTGTGTGTGTGTGTGTGTATGTATTCCAGTATGTGAACTTAACATTACTTGATTGCCTTCTAGTGCATCAGTGGGAATATTTTGTCCTTAGCCTTTAAATATCCAAGTAAGTAAGAGATTCAATAGCTCATTAAGAATACCTTGTGTTTTTAAGAAATGTTTCCTTCGTGATACTTCATTTTGGGTTCCTTATTTCTTGAAAATTCAGGTACCAAGAAAGTTGGGGAATTACACGTTGAAATTCATACTGCAATGCTCCTTAACTATTTTCATAGTAAGTGATTATTAAAGTAGTTGATACTGAAAAGTAGCAATGACAGAAAGGTATGGATGGGGCAAGTTAAACTTCTATTTTTCACCAGCTCTGTCTCTTGCTGATAAGCTATGCTGGAAATTACATTCCTCTGATCTAAAATTCTTAAGGAATTGGACTGTAGATTTGTCCAACAGGTGTGTTGAGGAGATAACATAGATGTGCAGTTTACTAATCTAGCATTTAAATAAGATGGATAAAGGAGGACATACATGAAATTTGCGTAAGATAGAAAAGCATTTTCAAGTTTTGGATCCACTGGGAAAAAAGTATTCTCTGGGCAGTGGTGTGCTAGGGAGGGTATGTGGGAAGGAAACGCTCACAGCAGGGTCCCAGCTGAGGTCATTCCTTAGCATGAGTGGTGGTTTCCCAGAGTCAGAGTGGGCAACACTAACGCCGTTCACGCCATGTGCACTAGTGATACCTAAATACATCATCGCTTTGTTCCGTGCGTGTGAGTTGGCAGTATTTGTTAATGCAGCCCTGACGTGAGATTGGTCAAAAACTAAGGGAGAATTTCTTGGCTTTGTTTATAGAAATTAATTGCATAGTTGCAAAATTTTTCATTATAATGCTATTAAGCTATTTAACTATATATGTTCCAAACTAAGAGTTCATACAAAATTTTTGGTCCACTCCAAAGATTTCCAGGTTCACTATCCTGAAAAATGGACCGATACTACTTGATTAATGATGTAAAGGTATGGCTTCATCAGCCCAGTTTGCTGCCTAATAGAAATACTCCATAATTTAGTGTGCCCTACAGCTTGCCTTCTAAAAATAAACAAAGCCCCTCTTATTTTTTAATAAGCAGTATTAGGGCAAAGAAAAATTCTAGTGGAATCTTGCTAAGGATGACTCAAGTAGACAATAGTCCTAGTTCACTGTGTTTTCTATATGCTGCATTGATCTGCTCTTGTGGTGGTGGTTTTTTCTTTTTCCTTTATGCTTAGCCTGAATGTCACCAAGCACAAAGGAAAATGCCTCTAGCAATTCCCCACTGCTTTAGTCAATGGTTAATTTTGTCAGCTGAACTTGTGATTGTCTTGAATCTTGTTAGCTAGCATGACAAGTGCCGGTTTTCATCAGCCATGTCGGTTGGCATTATTTAAAAGGAGGTATCCTTTCTTCCCCTGATTATCTCTGTTACTATCGGCCTCTTTTGTCCCCTGCCCCTTGGAGCTGACATCAAATTACGTACTGTGAATGCTAACTCTGATCCTACGGAAAATTTACCAACATAACGTACCTCTTTTTTTCTACCATGATTTGCCAACGCATCCGTGGGGATTACAAAATTAATTAAACGTTAAGTGCTGATAGTTCTTGGCTTCTCAGCCAATTCTTTTAAAACAGTTGGATGAGACTTCTGAAGTCTTGAAAATTTAAAACTTTCCATACCTTGTTGGACCATAAAGGTTTTCAGGATAAGATCACAGAATCACAGAATAGTTTGAGTTGGAAGAGACCTTTAAAGTCATGTGGTCCAACCCTCCTGCAATGAGCAAGGACATCTTCAACTAGATCAGGTTGCTCAAAGCCCCATACAGCCTGACCTTGAACATTTACAAGGATGGGGCATCTACCACCTCTCTTGGCAACCTGTGCCAGTGTTTCACCGCCCTCAGTGTGAAAAACATCTTCCTTATACTTAGTCTAAATCTACCCTCTTTTAGTTTCAAACTGTTACCCGTGTCCTTACGCTTGGCCCTGCTAAAAAGTCTGACCCCATCTTTCTTATAGGACCCCTGTAAGTCCTGGAAGCCTGCGATAAGGTCTCCCCAGAGCCTTCTCTTCTCCAGGCTGAACAACCCCAACTCTCTCAGCCTGTCCTCACAGGAGAGGTGTTCCACCCCTCTGATCATTTTTGTGGCTTCCTCTGGACCCGCTCCAACAGGTCCATGTCTTTCCTGTGCTGAGGGCTCCAGAGCTGGATGCAAGACTCCAGGTGGGGTCTCACCAGAGCGGAGGAGAGGGGCAGAATCACCTCCCTTGACCTCCTGGCCACGCATAACAGTGTTTCATCCGGTCTTTCCAAATAGTGGGGGAAAAAAAAAAGCTTATTTAGCTTATTGCTGCATCAGTACCTCTGGTCCTGTTGTGACCTGGCAGAAGTGTTGGGGCACTAATGTTTGTATCTTCTTCTTTAGGTCTTTAGGTTGAATCCCTTCCTGCTCAGTGGAGTGGATTAGAAAACTAGACCTACATGCAATACGGACAAGACTGCCTGAAAAATGAGAACGTTGTCATGTCTTAGGACCATCATCTGCACTTAATTTGTCACTTTCCCACATTTTTTCCTTTATGCTGTTTTCTTACAGGGATCTTCACCTTCAAGGTTTCCTTCACTTAGACAGATTTCTCATTCCAGTTCCCTGGCAAGGCACTGTATTACATGAACATACTATTGTTTGAGTTTAGAGCCAGTAAACAAAAGAAAAACATGAGTGTCATGTTTGGAGGACTTCTTTGCAATAACAGAGTATGAAGTCTTCTGAAGTGAACAGCTTTTAAGGAAGAAAATGAACAAACTAGGATGTGTTGTTATCAGATGGTCAGGTGTCTGCTGTACAGGAATTAAATCTTCTAAGTTGGGTTGGAGTAAGGAAGCTGAACATACTGCATTTTGATTAGATAATGAAAATTTTTTCTGTTGAAAATCTTCTTTAGTGCAATGCTGTGCAGAACTGCGGGGGAATCAACTGTGCAAGTTAACTACCAGCTTACTTTAAACAGTTAAATGTCATGTGGTGATGGTCCTGAAAAATTAGCTTTCATGGGGCGCAGAAGTATCTGTTGTTGGGTTTTCACGCGTGGCTAGGTTTCAGTCCATGCGACGGCTTGATTAATAACGGCTGGCTTGGTGCTCTACTAAAGCTAAAATGCTTCTGTCTCCTGATGCAACAGGAGCTAGAAATCCCATGTGCATTTGAATTCCGTTACACCAGTATCTCTTCAGAGGTGCTGCTAAATACTTCAGTAGTCTGTGTAGGAAGCTGTACATTTTCCATCAACTGAACTTTATTTCAGCTGATTAATATTTTGTCCAAGTAATGTCATTTTAAGCAGTTCTTGTAATTATTTTCAGAGGGTATTTTTTAAGCTTTTTATAAAGCGTTTGATACCTACCATGCTTGAAGATTATAAATCAGTTTTCATTGTAATTTGGGAAATAAGTTTACCTTCATTTCTGCACAGAAAGTCTTGACACTTCCATCACGCAGTTAAACACATTCCTTATTTCCTTCTACAACCCCTTGTACTCTTTGAATTTTGATTTCACAGTGCGTTCTTTAATTATTTTTTTTCACAATATATTCCTCCCAGACAAGTATTTAAGGGGAATTATTTTCTGTTGTAATTTCTAAGCAGGTTTTATGTTAAGAATAGGCTGGTCCTTACCGTAAAGAGGTTATGAGGTAAGCAAGTAAGAGATAAAGGTTGTAAAATGTTAACATTTACTGTGCAAAATTGATGCTACCTTGTTGAACAGGAACCACAATGTTAAATATTTTTGATAGCAGGAAATGTTTTAGTTGCTGATTCAATGGAAAAGATTAATAAAGGGAACATCCATCAGTTAAGGAGAAATACATTATCCAGTAAAAGGACCTAACTACTGATGTTGAGCAACAGAATGTTACCAGCAATGTAGAGGCTGTCAACTTTTTGTTTTGTGTTGAGAGTGTAGAAGAATGTTATCACAGCTAAGACAGGACGGTCAAGAATTCAGCTGAGTTTGAAAAAAAATCCTCAGGAATTAATTTTCACAGCAAACACATCCTAGCAGAGGTACTTCTTCCCCTGTGTTGAAGCCAGCATTCCTCTCTTAACTTTTTTTTCCCATGGGGTGATAACATCTCATTTATTCAACTCCCAGAAAACAGGCCTTTAGACTTTGTAAAGCCCTGACTGGTATTTTTGTGTAACGTTAATCTAGTGACATGACTACACGTTACACATATTCAGGCTTGTGTGTGGCAGATGCGGTCATTTAGTCCGAGTGGTTCATAAACCCTTGTCTTTGGTTTGAGAATTACACTGGTTATGTGTACTTACGCTGTAGATTGCCACTGGTGAGCGGACTGATGTGATTTCTGTAATTTATACCTGGAAGGGGAAGCATCTGGGGATCAAGGACTTTCCTTGTACTTACAGGACTTTGCTAACTCTTTAGTTGTAGTTCAGTATATGGCTGTATATATTTCAAGAAGTGGTGTAAGTGTCATTGCCATTTTGCCATTCTTAAGGTCATAAAGCATGAAGTTTTGAGATGCTCTCTCTATGAAAGATGTCATTTGCTCCTTTAATGAAGCAGTGTGCTTTCATCAGGTAGGTCTATGAACCTTAATTTGCAAATGTCCTTGTAAGCGGTGATGGCAATGGCCATCAAAATACAATTTACTTTGTTTTTTATTCCCTGAAACAAGACCTAGAGCTACCTTCAATAAAGGACTTAGCATACAGAGTCACGCCTTTCTCTTGTTTTTCTCTCATCACCTGAATGTTGTGTTCTTTACTGCCTCGTGACATAGCTGCATAAGAAAGAATAAGGTGTGCCCTTACTTAAAATAATATATAGCTTGAGATCTGTAATTTGCTTATATATGTCTATAATGAAGCTTTTTCAGCAATGAAGCTTTTCTAAGTTGCATTCCTAGCAT